GGCTGAATAGGATTAGGAAAAATACCTAGTGGCAAAACGAAAACAGCCTGTCGATTTAAAATGGGTCTCCTGGACAAAAATAATATCTGCTCATGAGGATCGGAATTCCTTCAAAGCCATCCACCACTTTTAAACAGAATTAAGGCCTTTAACAGTATAGGATAAAAGTCGTAAACCTATCACAAAATGACAACGAGTGTAGCAAATGTACCAGCAGAAAAGATAAATGAAATACCATCAATGAGATAAAGCAGAGAACTGATAACAGTAATAGACAAACCAAAAAAATTAACAATAAGGAACAGAGATATCCGTATGGAAATGAACTTGGGAAAGACAACAGCACCAAAGTCGTCCAGGCAAATGTCTGGACGGGATCGGGGGCAACATTACAACCGGAACATATCAAACGGCAAACCCGGCCAAAAAGATACAGCATAAGAAGGGACCCAGGAAAGGAGGGAGGGAGGGTGAAGAAGAGAAGGGAGAGGGGGGAGAGGGGGAAAAGGGGAGGAGGTAGGAATACAACCTCAAAGTGCCCAAAGAAGGACACCTCAAAGAAACATCAAGCAGGATTATCGCTGGAACGCAGGGGTTGAGATTGTTGTGGAGTACGTGAAGGGCGCTTCCGGCCCCTATGAACTGGAGTCCCAATCTTGCTGGGGGTAGCGCAAGGACGCGATGGAGTAGGTATTAGGAGTAGGAATTGTCTTCCGGCAATGGAGGTAGTCCCAGTTGCTTCAGGAAGGAGTCCGCCTCAAAAAGATCACGTAGAATAACTTGAGAGTTATCTTTGGAGACGACCAGCTTGAAGGGAAAACCCCAGCGGTAAGGGATACGTTGGTGTTGAAGATGCGTGGTGAGTGGCTTCAACGCTCATCGTTTTAGCCAGGGTAATCGGAGAGAGATCACAAAAGAGCTGAAGCCAGTCCCCTTTAAATTCCAGGGAGGGAACGTTGCGTACAGAGGCCAACAAGGCTTCCTTGCTCTCAAAAAAATGGAAGCGGACGATGACATAACGTGGTCTGGTGCCCTCAGCCGGTCTCAGATCCAAAGAACGGTGGGCCCTGTCCATGCGCCACTCGCTTCTGGGACCAAGGGGGCGGTTGCGGTGAAGAAGGACAGGAGGTGTTGAAGAAGTTGGGAATCGGCAATGGATTCAGATATACCTCGAATACGGACATTTTGCCGGCGTTTCCTGTTTTCCAAATCTTCTTGTTGGAGCTGAATTTGGGACATGGTGTGTTTCAGATACGCATTGTCTTCTTCCAAGACATGAACGTATTGCACCAATTCATCAAATTTATTCTCCAACTGATCTGCACGCTCCCCATTCTGCGCTATTTCCCCATGAAGATCCAAGGCCAACTTGCCTACTTCAGCGGAAATAGTGGCGGTAATATTGCGCAAAAAATAACTGCAATTTTTCTTCTAGACTAGAGATCGTGAGAGTAGGTGACACACGGGTATTAGCGAGAGTATGTTCTGTTGTCCCCTCTATAGGGATCCGGAGTTCGGATTCCTCTATATGGTGCTGAGGGAGTGAGGAGGTTGGCTGCATTGTGGAGGCAGCTGATGTAGTACCTCCGGGGGCCCGTCGGAGCTCGTCTGTGGGAGTGAGGAGGTTGGCTGCATTGTGGAGGCATTGTGGAGGAGGCTGGAAGCAGCTGGTGTAGTACCTCTGGCCGCTACTGGGGGCCCGTCGGAGCTTGTCTGTGGGGTCCCTGCCGAAATTGAGGCCAGGGATTGCGGCTTATGCAGGAACCGCTGCAGCGGTGACGGCCGCGGCTCACGTGGCGGCGGGGAGGGGGGCTTCCAGCACCCGATCTTCCCCATTATGAGACTGGGGTCTGGTGCGCTGGGTGCCCTGCTACTGTGACTCAACCAGGGATGGATATGGAGCCGCAGTGCGCCGTGGGTGAGTCTCTTAGGCCGGGGAGAGGAACGAAGCTCACAGGAATGCGGCCATCAACGTTCCCAGACGCTCATGCGCCCCCTCTATTTCTTTTATATTCTTTGATCCACCTCTAAATCCTGGATAAGTGTCTAATTTAACCTCCATAATTTCCATTTGATCTGCTCATTTCCCCATAATAATTGCATTGTGACAGGGGCATGGTACGATATTGACATCACTTCTATTTTTACTTTGACCAGAGACTCGATAAGTCGATGGTCCAGCAATATATAATCCAGTCTTGAATACATCTCATGTGCATGAGAATAAAACATATAGTCCCTGTCCTTTATGTGCTTAATTCTCCATATATCTACAAGTTGACATTTGTATATCATTTTTTTCAAGGATTTCAGAGACCTACTACCATCTCTCTGCACAGGGGATGTCATATCCATCTGGGGATCCATGCAGAGATTGAAATCACCTGCCACAATTAAATAGCTTTTTTTGAAATCCATTAACTTCCTCAGAGTATTTTTTAGGAATACATCCGGTTTCTTATTCTGGCAATAAATATTTGCTAATGTACAGTCTATTTCCTGTAATTTTTCCTTCAGAAAAAGAAATCTCCCTTCCGGATCTACCAATCTGTTTTCCAGCTTAAACCTTATATTTTTCGCAAAACCTATTGCCACTCCCTTGGCACGTTTAATTGGGGAATCTGCATAAAACCACATTGGATAATATCTGGAATTTAATTTCACATTTGATTCTTGCACCAAATTTGTCTCCTGTAAAAAAACCACTGAAGAAAAAATCTGTCGAATTTCTTGAAAAATCCCAAATCTCTTCCCACGGCTATTAAACCCTTTAACATTATAAGTCACAAAGTGAATCTCTTCCATTTTTCTCCTCTCCACACCTCTATCTTCCCCATCTCTTCTCTCTTTCCTCCACATCTTCCCATTTGTTCTCTAGGATTTCTCCAGACTGATGTTTCTCCCACTATTTCACAGAGTCTTAAACTTCCTATCCCCTACCCATACCCTCCCGTCCCTCCTCCACCCATCCTCCCTCCCTCCCACTCCTCTCCCTCCCCTCCCCCCCATCTCCCTTGGGCTTATATTTTGCCTATGAATCATTTGTGGTCCTAACTCCACCTTTGATTCAGCTTTTAAGGTGAAGCTCTGACCATGAACTTTTCCCCAATAAGTGTGCCTCATCCTCCGTGTCCTGCCATACTCTAATAAACTTCAAAGATCATAAGAGAGAGGCAGAAATGGAGGGAGAAAAAAAAAAAAGAACCCCGCCTCCCTCCCATCTTATTTCTCTTTACTATTTCTACTCTCTATTTCTCCTTAGAGCTACTTGCCTCCCCTCATTTTCCATAGCCCACATTTCTCCTTCTTCTTCCTCCCAACCAGGGATATTTATTTTCTGTATATCAAGTCTCTCACAAAAGTCTCTCAGATCTTTGGGGAATCTCAGTCTTGCTGAATGTCCATTTCTCCATCTGATCAAACACGCTGGAAACCCCCAGCTATGTCGAACATTCTGTTTTCAAATCTGTTTCAATAACGGTTTCAGAGTTCTCCTTCTTATTAATGTTTCCGATGCTAAATCAGCAAAGATATGTTTGTTTATTTCTCCATATTTTATTATTGCTCTTCCTTTTATCTTCTTCCAAAGCTATTCTTTATCCCGAAAATTATGGAATTGCACTATTACATCTCTTGGCTTTACCCTTCTATCTTCTTGTATGTATTTTCCTATTATATATACTCCCTCCATTTTGAGAGGCTCTGTTATAGTTCTATCCATTATAGTATTCAGCATTCTCATAATTATTCCCGTCAAATCTTCTCCTTGTGAGATCTCTGGAAAGCCCAATATCCTTAGATTGCATCTCCTATCCCTATTCTCCTGGTCTTTCAATTTATATAACAAATTTCTCTGTTCTTTTCTCATTTCCATTGCCTGTTTTTTTAATTTCTGTATAATTTGGGCATGTTTACCTAGTTTTTTCTTCTGTCTCCTCCACCCTTGATAATATTTGCCCCAGATCTTTGTGTAATTTCACCAGTTCCTTTTTTAGGGATCTTTCAAGTCCTTTAAACATTTCTGCTATTTCTGCTTTAGTAGGCATCTGTGAGCTCTCCTTTTGTTCTTCTACGTTATTCATATCCACTTCTTCTTCCATAAGTTGACTACTGTTAACTATTCCCAGGGATAGTCTGAAACATTCCCTGCTGTTTTCCCTCTTACCTATTACATTTATTCCCTGTTGTCTCTCTGGAGTCTGTTTCTCCTGTGAGGGTATATATTTTTTAATTGGGAAGCCTTAGGCCTTTAATTGGGAAGCCTTAGGCCCTCCTCCCTTTGATACTTTGTTTTTCATGCTGTCAGGGACTATTTCAATTGTCCGCAGTTCTGGTTTTGGGGGGGGGGGGGGGGGGTCTATTTTTGATTTGATATCAAAATTTGTTGTCTTCCATGGGTATCCCCCTCTCAGTTCTTTTCTTCCTTTTTCTCTCCCCCCACTCCCGAACTCATCTACCCGGGCCTTCTTCTTCTAGGTCTTTATCTGTTTTACATTGTCCTCTTTCTGATTTTCCTCTAAGACCCCCTGGGTGAACCCCTCCTCAGTTTAAACATATAGTTCAATATATACAGCTCAGTTCCAATGCAATATATTAATCTCACTACTTTTGCTGCTCTCACTCACCCTCTTATCCCCAATACGGCTTTTCCCCCGTTTGAGATCTCTGTCATATATGAAGAAAAGGACTTCTCTGAAAAAAATTTCCTGCACTCCAAATAGGTATTCAACTTCTCCTCCGTGTAAGATCTCTGATGTTTGTGAAGACTTGGCTTCACTGAAAAGTGTTTCCCACACTCAGGACAGACATATGGCTTTTCACCTGTGTAAGATCTCTGATATATGTAAAGACTAGACTTATCTGAGAAAACATTTCCCGCACTTAGAACAGGGATATAACATCTTCCTCATGTGATGTCTCTGATATATATGCAGGCAGGACTTCTGTGAAAAACATTTCCCGCACTCTGAACAAGGGTATGGCTGCTCTCTCTTGTGTTATCACTGGTATATATAAAAATAGGATTTACATGAAAAACATTTCCCGCACTCCAGACAGGTATGCAACTTCTCCATGTAAGATCTCTGATGTGTGTGAAGACTAAGCTTCACTGAAAAGTATTTCCCGCACTCAGGACAGACATATGGCTTTTCACCTGTGTTAGATCTCTGATATATGTAAAGTCTAGTTTTGTCTGAGAAAACATTTCCCACACTTAGAACAGGGATATAGCATCTTCCTCATGTGAGGTCTCTGATATATATGCAGGCTGGACTTCTATGAAAAACATATCCCACACTCTGAACAAGGGTATGGCTGCTCCTTCTTGTATTATCACTGGTATATATATAAAAATAGGACAGTTGTGTTCAAAATAATAGCAGTCAGACATCACTAACCTGATCAATCACTGTTTTTGGTAGAAATGATATTTCTACATGGCAAATAATTTACTAGCAGGTATAGTAGAGTAATAGAAATCCAACAGACCCAACAGTCATGACATGCATGCTGCTGATTCTGTGTAATTGAATCACTAATTAAAAGGAGCATGTTCAAAATAATAGCAGTGTGGAGTTCTATTAGTGAGGTCATTCATTCTTTGAAAAATAGATGGCAATTATTGCCCTTATTTAAGGAAGGAAGGCAGAAAAAATGTTGCACATGCTGGTTACAGTGCATTTCTCTCTGAAATTCTGAGGAAAATGGGTCGTTCCAAACATTGTTCAGAAAAACAGCGTACCTTGATTCAAAAGTAGATTGGAGAGGGAAAAACATATAAAGAAGTGCAGAAAATGATAGGCTGCTCAGCTAAAATGATCGCAAATGCTTTAAAATAGCAACCAAAACCTGAAAGACGTGGAAGAAAGCGAAACACTACCATTCGAATGGATAGAAGAATAGCCAGAATGGCAAGGACTCAGCCAACAATCAGCTCCAGGAAGATCAAAGCAGGTCTAAAGTTACCTGTGAGTACTAATACAATTAGAAGACGCCTATGTGAAGCTAAGCTATCTGCAAGAAGCCCCCGCAAAGTCCCACTGTTGAAAAAAAGATGTGCTGAAGAGGTTACAATTTGCCAAAGAGCACATTGACTGGCCTAAAGAGAAATGGCGCAACATTTTGTGGACTGATGAAAGTAAGATTGTTCTTTTTGGGTCTAGTGGCCGGAGACAGTTTGTCAGGCGACCCCCAAACACTGAATTCAAGTCACAGTACACTGTGAAGACAGTGAAGCATGGTAGCGCAAGCATCATGATATGGGGATGTTTCTCATACCACGGTGTTGGGCCTATTTATCGCATACCAGGGATCATGGATCAGTTTGAATACATCAGAATACTTGAAGAGGTCATGCTGCCTTATGCTGAAGAGGAAATGCCCTTGAAATGGGTGTTTCAACAAGACAACGACCCCAAACACACCAGTAAACGTGCAACATCTTGGTTCCAGACCAACAATATTTGAAGTTATGGAGTGGCCAGCCCAATCCCCGGATCTTAATCCAATAGAAAACTTGCGGGGTGACATCAAAAATGCAGTTTCTGAGGCAAAACCAAGAAATAGAGAAGAACTGTGGAATGTAGTCCAATCATCCTGGGCTGGAATACCTGTTCACAGGTGCCAGAAGTTGGTTGACTCCATGCAACACAGATGTACAGCAGTTCTCAGAAACAGTGCTTATACAACTAAATATTAATTAAGTGATTCAAAGGAAAGCAAAATCTTCAAACATTTTTCAGTTTATATAGTGAATGTTTGAGTTTGTAAAGAAGAATACAAACACTGCTATTTTTTTGAACAGTCTAATATTCACTTTTCTTCAATTTTTTTAGAGGAACAACACAAATTTGATATATTTTTTTTTATATTTTGATTTGGAATAAAATGTGTAGTGTTCCCAATGCATTCGTGTGTATGGAAATAAAAGCTATTAGAAGGATTTTGAGCTTTATTCACTTTTTTGAACACACTGATATTATTTTGAACACAACTGTACATGAAAAACATTTCCCGCACTCGAAACAGGAATACTTCTCCCCCCCCATGTGAGATCTCTGGTTTCTATAGAGATTGAACTTCTCTGAGAGACTTTCCCACACTTTAGGACATCTCTTCCTTTACTTCAAGTGAGGGGTGAGGCGGCTCCATGTACTCTCTTCTGGGGAACATTGCACTCGACATTCCCCTTACACAATGAGTAGATTGCAGGGGGGTTCACCCAGCCCGTTTCCGCGTGTCTCCAGCTGCCACGGTCCTGTGTGCAGGAGGAAGAGAGCCGGCGCCTCCCTTGCTCCAAGAAATGCCGGCTGGCTCCTCTGCCTCCCAGAGCTCCCTTGCGGCAGATCACCTGATCATCCGGCATCCATTGAGCTCTGGGGAACACACAGCGTCGGACTGAGAGCACAGGAAGACCCGCCGTGATGGCTGCCACTCCTGGAGGTCCTCGGTCCACGCTCCCCACCAGGCAAGCCCCCCCCTCTCCCCGGCTAGTCTCTCTAGGGCTTCCCTCACATCTCTCCCCTCCTTGGCAGGACACTGGAGGTGCTTGGGAGCCCTCACATAGAGCTCCCGCTTCAAGCTATGGTCAGGCTCCTTCCTGGGTTTGGTCCTAATTGCAGCAGGTCTCACAGATTTTTAGTCCAGGACCACACTGATATGGTACGATCTGGATTCAGGCTACCTCCGATAGAAACCTTTGAGGTTACTTATTCTTCCCTGGGCTCTTTGAAGCCTTTACAGAGTACTCAGGCCTTTCTGGTGCATCCTCTTCTGGAGCAAATTATGTATGCGGACTGGTGGGATCGCCCAGACAGGGTTTTTGGTCCATCATAGAGGTTTTCTGTTTTGTACCCCATGGAACAAAAGATTGTTAAGAAATGGGGGTTGCCTGTACTGGGTGCAACTGTTTCATCCCTGAATAAATCTTTAACAAGTCCTGTGGATAATGTACAGATTTTCAAGGGCCCAGCGAATAAGAAGCTGGAATCTCTGCTTAAGGCCTCCTTCTCCCTGGCAGGCTCTGCCACACAGCCAGCTGTGGCAGCTGTTAGCATTTGCCAGAGTGTTTATGACCATGTCAAGCAATGGATTGGAAGACCATCAGTGCGGGGGAATGCTCGGATGAGGATTTGGAGGATATTCCACGTGCTTTGTGTTTCGTGGTTGATGCTCTTAAGGATTCAATTCAGCAAATTTCTCACTTGGCCCTCTTATCAGTGCACATGTACAGGGTTTTGTGACTGATGAGTTGGTCAGCCAAAAAATTTACAGGTTTTCCATTTCATGGGGAATTGCTGTTTGGGGAAGATTTGGACAAATATATCCAAATGATTTCAGGGAGTAAAACTACTCTTCTACCCTCTAATAGGAGATCCAAATGCCCTTCTTTTAAGGTGTCAGCAGCTTTGGTTGCTGGGCCCTCATCTACCAGGCAGTCGTTTCACCACACACAGGTCCCAGCCTCCAGAGGTAGATCTTAGAATCAAAACCAAAAGGATGCCCTGAGTGCAAAAGACAGGTCCAAAGTCTGCCTCCTTATGAAAGGGCTCCCCCACTTGTTCGTGTAGAAGGAAGGCTTTTGAATTTTGTGGCCACATGGAGGGTTCTAATCCAAGACAAATGAGTCATTTCCATGATTTCTCTGGGGTACAGGCTAGATTTCTGGGTATTTCCCTCTCCACGGTTTCTAAGATCAAATGAACCAATGAATCCAGAGAAAGGTGGGCGAAAGGTTTCAGGGGTTTTATTCAAAACTGTTTACAGTACAAAACCAATTCGGGATGTAAGGCCCATTTTGGACCTCAAGGGGCTAAATCAGTTCCTAAATGTCCGATCCTTTCATATGGAATCAGTTCGGTCAGTAGTAGCCTCACTACAGGAGGGAAATTTTTTGGTGTCCATAAACATCAAGAATGCATACCTGCATCAATATCCATTCCTCACCAAAGATTTCTGTGGTTTTCAGTAGGGGCTCAGCATTTCTAGTTCATAGCACTACTGAATGGGCTGGCCACGGCTCCCAGAGTTTTCATAAAAATTCTTGCTCCGGTGTTGGCGCTACTCAAAACTCAGGGAGCATCGTCACAGGTTATCTAGATGATCTCTAGTTCAGAAATCAATCGGTGCCAGATCTGAAGCAGGATGTGGTCCTTACGATGCAGATCCTGGAACAGCTGAGCTGGGTACTCAACCTCAAGAAGTCGGCAACCGGAGCCAGTGCTGAGCCTGGAGTATTTGGGGATGGTCCTAGACAAGTTTCAGGCAAAGGTATTTCTGCCTCCAGGGAAACATTGCACCCTGAGGAATGAGGTTTGCAGTTTGAAGGCCAAGAGGTATCCTTCAGTTTTCCTCTGTATGAGTTTTCTGGGGAAGATGGTGTCCTTGTTCGAGGCTATTCTTATGTTCAATTCCACTCCAGACCGTTGCAAAGGTACATTCTGTCTGCTTGGAACAAAAAGATTCTGGCCCTGGATTACTGCATATCTTTGTCTCCAGAAGTGCAGCAGAGCCTGAATTGGTGGTTGATAACACACAATTTGGAGAAGAGAAAATCCTATCCGCCAGTGGTGTGGAAATTGGTAACCACCAATGCAAGCCTCTCAGGTTGGGGTTCCATTCTGGAGGAGGCCACAGTTCAGGCTTCCACAGGAAAGGGTTCTTCCCATCAATGTCCTGGAACTTTGAGCAGTGAGGCTGGCTCTATGGTATTGGACATCCAGGCTTCAGGGTTGGCCTGTAAGGATTCAGTCCTACAATGCCACAGCAGGCACATACATCAACCACCAGGTTGGTACCAGGAGTTGATTTTCTCAGAAGGAGATGAACTACATTCTGACCTGGGCATAGAGATATGTTCCAAGTCTGTTTGCAGTGTACATTCTAGGTGTGGAAAATTGGCAGGCAGATTATCTCAGTCACCGGCAGTTGATTACAGGGGAATGGACTTTGCATCCCAATGTTTTCAAGGAAATCTGCCAGCGATGGGGTTTCCTGATGTAGATCAATTGACATCCAGCTTCAACAACAAGGTCAGTCTTTTTGTGTCCAGGGTAAGGGATCCTTGCACGGAAGG